CAGGTGAGTTTTGCACATAATAGCTTGATGGCTCAAGTATTTCAGGGCGCTTTGTGGCTTAGCAAGATAAGGATCTGTGTCCAGAAGGTCATGGGTTCGAAACCCATGGTTGCCAATGCAGAAGTGGAAACTTCAGGTCCAGAAAGTACAAATCCAACCAAGATTTTGTTTCAACCAACCAGGTGAGTACTCTGTGACTGTGACCCATTATGCTCAACTGGTTGGTTGAAAGTAAATCATGGTCTGGATTTTTACTTTCTGGACCTGAAATTGCCACCTCTGTGCCAATGTAATGATGTCTTTGTTGGGCCCTTGAGCAAAGCTCTTTACCCCAAATTCTCCAAGGCTGCTAGCTAACCCCAGATGCAATTGAGCACCCAACAAACAGTGAACTCTCTCCATAGTCATTATTGCTTGCTGTATGTTATTATTCTCTGTCATTATGATTGCTATCCTTCCCGTAGGATCGATCCCAGCCACCTCCTTCTTAAAACAGAGTGGGATACACATGGACTCAAAGGGTTTCATAACTGTCAGCAAGGTCAGTAGCCCACAATCTGTAGCCCACATGCCTTTCAACTTGGCATAGTCGCTTCAATCGCATCAAGTGTGAATGTAGCTGCATCTCCTCCTGAATCCCCAATGTTTATGACATCACAATGGGATTTCAGCTATTCTCTGTCAAAACCAATTATGACGTGGCAGACAAAAAACTAACCCAAGGTGTGTTGTTTAATACCTAGATGATGCAGACCAATGTGGATGGGATCTTCGCTGGGGGGGACATTGCCATGTTCCCCCTGTCGCTGCGTAGCAATAAGAAGGTGAACGTCCCCCATTGGCAGATGGCACACATGCATGGTAAGACCCGCCCCTCAGCGGCATCTCAGTGCATCACTTCCTGTGCGACTGACCTGTCTCATTGTCAAGGTGATGTTTTCCAGGGCGAGTGGCAGCACTGAATATGATGGGCAGGATTGTTGAGATCAAAACCGTGCCTTACTTTTGGGCAGCCATGTTTGGAAAGAGCATAAGATATGCAGGTGAGTGAACAGTCTGAGACTGACCTTCCATTTTTTATTTGAGTACGTCAGATAATTGAGTTCCAACAACAAATGCTTCACTGAAGAGAAGAAGCCGACTGAAAGGTTCACAAAAAACACAAAGGATGAGGATATCCAGAAATTTGCAGTTCAAAATGTTTATACCGGAAATGAACCAAAAGCCATTTACACTGCCCATCCTTGATAACTTCTTATCCAACAGAGAATCATGATAAGTCTGGAGCCTGTTCCAGGAAACAGGGCACAAATATTCCCATTAAATTACTGCCACCTAGCTGTGAGAAGATTAGCATTTTCTTAAAGCTAGGCCTCATCTTAGGAAATGTGGACGCTGTGTATCTCACATGATTTGTGTGCATTATTGAAGGTGGTATGCATTGTATGTTCAAGGTCATGGGGAGGGGTTTGATGATGTCGTCATCCAGGGAGATCTGGACGAGCTGAAGTTTGTGGCCTTTTATACCAAGTGAGTGTGTCCTTATGTGTTGCATTCCACTTTTACTTTCCATACTGCATTTTTATAAATTTATTAAGTAATTTCAGCTCTCATTCAATTATTATTTTTTGTATTAATTATTTAAAACTAAGACATACAAAGAAAATGCCTCCCAAGTCAGGAAAGTCACAGTGACATTTTTATGTACATGTATAGGAACCGGAAATTCCCCGGAGGTAACTAACCTACAGAGGTGACCTCTGACCTTTCTCTGACATCCATGTGCCTACTTCCTGAGGGGGGGGGGATATCTCTTTCTTGAACTAACAACCACTCGAGAAGTGCTGTTCAAAGGAAGAGTTTTAAAAACACTTCAAGAATGTTTTCAAGGTGCTCTGTGGGAAGACAATTATGTGAGATATGGCGACAGGAAATGCTGAGGGTTACATGGGAAGCTGACTTACATGGGGACCCCAGACTGTCCACATTTTTCTTTTTCCCAGCTTCCAACCAATCAAGAACTCAGAATACCTGTCATGGGTATGTTGGGAGCCAGGAAAAAGCAAAAATATGGACTGTCTGGGGTCCCTGAGGACTGGGTTGGGAAACACTGCTCTGAGGGTTACTGAGCACCGACTTTAATGTTGGCCTGTCCTCATTGAGTCTAGTAGAACCTGGCGGTTATTAGTGTTTTATGGATGAGTCACCACCCTCCAGTCCAGTGCTCCCCTCCACCCTCGAGCGATTTGGAAAGTAAAACACGACTTTTGGCTAAGAGGATGGCCCAGCTGGCAAAAGTTGCCCAAGTGACAGGCCACTTTTATGTGTTTTTTCGTGCTCTTCCCACCACAGGAGCGAGGAGGTGGTGGCAGTAGCCAGCATGAACTATGACCCAATAGTGTCGCGTGTGGCAGAGGTGTTTGGGTCCGGAAAGGGGATCAAGAAAAGGGACGTGGAGTAAGTCCTGCTTTCTGTTTCAGATCTGCCCCTTTGGGCAGGATGTGTGGCACATCATCTGGAGAAAGAATAAGGAAAATAGGAACAAAGCTAAAATGAGAAAACTGCTCACAGTGGACATTTATTAGTGTTTAAAGATAGTATATAGACTCAGTTTGAAGCTGGATTTATTAGTTTGAAGCGTTTGAGATGCCATGAAAGTGAGATGGTGTTTGGGTACCATCTAATCCCCCCCCACCCTTTGACAGAGCACCATAATGTTGCGCTGTTACAACTTGAGAGTATATTCACCAGTATTTCTTTGATTTCAAACCTATTTTTGTCTTCTCTGTTCTGCACACACAAAATGAAGGACGTTATCACTTCTTGGCAAGTACGAAAACATGAGAACTTCTTCCAACCTCCCGGCATCGCCCAAATGCGACAATGCCATTGAGTCCCTGTACACATTTCAGTGCCCAGCAGCTTTGCTGAGTCGCCCAATAAGACCTCAGCAAACTGTAGTACCCATGTCACCCAACTCCAACCCCACTACTCTGTCCTAAATCAAATTACAAATAAGAAAAAACAAAAGGTCCTTGCAGGCACATCACATATGCTGCTGTTTGCATTATCAGGAGGAACTTGGCTTTGAAAGCTGTGGTCAGTGGGATTATTGCACTGTCTTCACTCCCATTGGTTAATTTATTTCAAGGCTGTTAAACCAATCAGTGACTGACGGTGCATGGTAGTCCCACAACAGGTTTCAGAAGTCTCATTTCCTCTATTGCCAGCTGTGTGTTTGTGTATGCCTATATACAGTATATATGTAAAAGTACATTTACATATATATTTGACTTCCTTTTGAATCTGTACTGCATATGATTCAAACATTCAAGTAACACTGTTCTTCCAATTAACTGAAACTAGAAATGTATTTTGCAGTAAAAATATAAGGGTTTTCAGAGGGATTTCTTTTTCTGCTGATTTATCAATCTTCTGTGAATTTCAGGACTGGAGATATGTCTTGGCTGATAGATAAGGGTACGCAGTGAAGATCTCGAATTGCCCTGTGCAGCTTCAAGCCGAAAGCTTCTGGAACCTTCCTGGGACCAGAACTCACGGTGCTGTGAAAAAACCCCACCTGCAGACCATGAGAACATTCTCTCAATGGATGGGTCTGGGTTACCCCCTTCCCAATGCCCAGCCCCCCCTCAACAGAGATACCCTGCTGAACCTGAAACGTATGGATTTATACCATTAACACCGAACGTTAACACGCCATGAATGGTTTTAATGAGCTCAGAAGCCTTAGGGCAGATCTTGGGATTGGCTTCTCTTCCTGATTGGACCATGAAGCAATACTGGGATTCAATTCCGTGCTTGTGCATGTTGTATCTACCTGGAAACTTTATTTATAGGCCGATTGTCATTTTTGTACATTTAAACTTTGTACATAGTTATAACCTGCACCTCCAAGCAGATTAACAATTCAGAGATTTATATCGATCTTTTGAGAATTTGAAATATATATATATATAACATTGCTTGTAAAGTTATATATATATATATATAAACATTGCTTGGCTGCAACATGGGAGCTGGGTCTATATTTAGGTTTTTCTTCTTCCAAATATATATATGTATATGTATTGTTTTCGTAGCACCCAAAAATCAACACTAAGGATTCTACTTCAAGAGTCATTATTCTGAATTCTCAAACTGGGGAAGGAAAAGCAAAGCAAAGTTGTCATCCTTAGAAGCCATAATGAAGACAGAACGTAAATGATAGTGCCACCATGTGGAGACACAGCAGAAGTGCATATGCAATATTTTTGGGGGAAAAAAGCCTAACCATCTAAAGTTTTGTTAAAAAAAATTGCAAGCAAGCAGGCAGTAGGTGCATTACATGTATAATCTCAGAGCATGAAACCCCTATATACTAGCATATAGCCTCTAATTAAATGCAGGACGAGTACCAGATTGTCTTCTTGCTCTGCTCTTAAAAGAAATAGTATATCTTTTGAGTAAACAAACATCGCCACGTGATGCAGGATGGAATTGCATTGCGTGTATTTCCCTGCACCTGGGCACCTAAGGTAACTGCTAAATTACATTTTAGACATTTATGCTTTTCATGGATGCTCTTTGTTACTAACTCAGGGACCTGAGGTTTGGGGCAGGGTTCTGCGACCGGTGTTGTTGCCAAAATAAATCGTCTCTTATTTTCCTACCTGACACCTGGCTGGCTCATTCTGGTGGTCCAAAGTTTCCTACCAAACTCTGAAATATCAGTTGAATATCAGTTGAAACTGGTAACATAAAATAATAAATATGAACAAATGGTTTCACATAGTCCCACATACTAGGAATACATTTTTTTTTTAAATGTCTGGGTTGATAAATTATGTTTTGTGACAGTGCTATAAACAATATATTTCAAACTTATGTACCAGACAGACTTTCTGGTGTGTGGATTCTCAGTCTGCTTTGCTTCAGGTTTAAAGCTAAAACCACAAAACAATCTGTAAAGCACTTTAACACAAGGAAAAGCACCATTTATCTGAGAACACTGAAAGTATATTAAGATTTTAATAAGGCAACACAGGAGGACTTTACCTAAAATAAGTTAGAGAAAAATAATAAATTTTACAGATTGGTATAAGATGACATTTTAAAGAGACTGGACAAAAAGTTAAGCCACTACTTCTAAGATTAACACATTGTCTATTATTCAGTAAGATGTGTCAAACATCCATAGCATCTGTATACACTGGGTAAGGTACACTGCCTGGCCAAAAAAGTCACATACTTTAATAAACTGACTTTTTTTGGCAATGCATTGTGTATTATTGCAAACAACCCAGTACTTTAGTCACAAAGCACCATGACAGATTTGGAAGTTGTATACAACCCGTTTATGGAAACGTATGTCGTCAGTGAAGGTAGAATGTTTTATGACTCATTTCCTGTTTCCAAAAAAAATGGTTACAAATTAGTTAAAATACAACTTATATGGTTCATAAAAGTTTTGCAAATTCAGTGCTTTTAGTTCACAGTTTATAAAAGCAGAAAGAAACCCATTAAAAAAACACTGTGAAACAGCTCAGTCAGATTTGTTCTGTTGTCAACATCTCATCTTTAAGGCAGTGTGTTCCAAAACACCACGAAATTCACTTTCCATAGCAACATTACTTATACAAACACACATGACACAATAAAAGCAGACAGACATCTTCAGACAGATTCTGGACTACAACACACTTAAAACTACAAAGTAAATACCTCACTGCACAAGCCAATTTTATGCACGTACTTAAATTTCAGTTAAAAATACTTTCAAGAAGTACAGAACTGACAAGTGTACAACAGTCCCCTGCTCACCTTTTTTAAAAAGTACTACAGCTAATGAGTTTCACAGTTACTGAAATCACTATCGTTCCACCATCAGCTGTGAAACAGAAGGCACTTTGTATCTGGGAGATTTCGGGAGGTTTGTTTATGCCCACACCGTGTATTCTTGGAGTGCTGATACCTCTGAGGTGGTTTCCATTATAATGCTCGTTCACTACAGCAGTACACAATTCACACCCATAGTTGATGAAGCCATATCTGCAGACCCCAAAGCCCAGCCCGCCATCAGCATGTGTTTCTAAGGATCGATTGGAGAGGAAGTCCGATGGAGTCTGTCCAGCAATGGACAGCGACACCGTCTGCTGCGGGTGGAATGGCTGTGTTTCCTCTCAGAGGTCAAACTCCGTGGCACACTGATGGAGATACTGTTCATATAGTCCCTGCTGTTGGGGCAGAGAAACAACATAAAAACAGTGAGATTATTGTGTCAGGACCATGATAGACTTCCATGCAGACATCCATACAGATTCACTCACCATGGACACACTCCAAGGACCCCTGATTACCCAGAAGGCACCAGACTCACCTTTCTGGCTTTGACCACTTGCTGTACGTAATCGCTGTATTCAGCTAGCCGCCTCTTCTCCTTCTTGGTGAGGGTATGTTGTCTTTGGCTGCGGGACAAACCGAACACCATGTCAGGATGGCATCGCAACCAAAGACAAGAGGGCGGACAGGGGGGTGTGGCCCTGCTTACCGTGCAAAATATTTGGCTAAGAAGAAGAGAAGGTAGCTGAGGGCTCCGCTAGCGATGACGAACATAATCTGGCTGTCTTCCGGGATCATGTCCCAGAGAGTCACCACAATCCCCTGTAGAGATACAAAGAAATGCTGAAATATCCAGTAGAAAGCAGATAGACAGGATACTAGTAAGGGAGCTGTCAGAACAACAGCAATGTACTCCCCAGAAAGCCCCATCAGACACCTAGCCATCTAAGCCTTACACCTCCTACACCCCCAATCTGTGCAATTCCTAGAATTACTGGATGGATCAATTGGAAATAGAAAGGCCAAAAATGCGCTCTTACCTGAATGTTCTAGAAAAGTGCTAGTTAGTGACACATGACTCTGAAACTATGCCTGTTCATTTATTGAACATTCTACTTACATGCCAATTTGCACAATTTATTTCTCATTTGCACAATGACCAATATTTTCCATGTAATAACAGTAAGAACTGTAACTGACACAGCAATGGTTTAGGACTGGGTGATGTGACAATGTGATTTTGGCTCATTGTATTTGCTCCCAGATCATGGCAGAGAGCTCAATACACCCTGGGAAGCCTTGGAAGCTTGTATCTATAAACCCATTTCCTTTGATATTATACTAGATACAGATGATTAGTGGATAAATCGCCAGATTAAAATCAGTACTCAGTTATTCATATAATCGATGGTCACAGCCCTACTGCAAAGTCTGGTGACTGCTCATAAGACCAAGTGTCTTCAACAGCTGCTGCTTCCTTCATTTGTGCCACACAGCGCTGCTACTTCATTTTGGGAGCAATTTGTCCAAAAATGAAACCAGGTTCTTCATCCTTAAAATGTTTTTGTGAAGCAGGAGTAAGATCCATAAAATACTTTGACTTTTTCCATATTCACAAGGGATGAGAACCTGAGTGCAGCCATACAGTGGGAGATACACCTCAGCACCACACCAGTCCAAATGGACCAGTCTGAGTTCTTTTCCAGTGACTGGAGGGCCAATCCTGCCACCAACCCCCAAATTTCCCGCCAAGTTGGAGGACCTGCTTACATAGCTGGATGAAGATTAATGTCTGTATGACGATTCTGGGGCAAGCTGTCTCAAAATTGAATCATATCCAGTTCATCATCCATACAATGCCTTAGCAAAGTTATAAAAAATCCATAAAATGATTTTTCAGTTATTGTCACAACAAGCAAAGTGTCTTTGGTGGCAGACGAGTCCCAAAACCACATGTAGTCTCCGAAGTACGGGGAATACAATTATTGCACACCTTTGATGTCTGTGACAATTCAGAGAGACACTGATGGCATGGTAAGTTTAAAATGGAGGGGGGGGGGTACACACTGTGGTCAGATGGAAGGCCACAGTGAGGCCCTCGCCGATCATCCCCTGGAGCTCCTCCCGGGGTAAGGTGTTCACCACCAGGGTGAGGATAAGGAAGGCTGGCAGCAGCACGGCCAGGAGGCCGCAGAGGAAGGCATGCACGCGGGCACCCCTGTTGTAGCTCACTTCTGCCCTGCAATATCCAGGGGAGGTGCATCATTTAGTCAAGATCAGGAGGACATTCTTGGTTCAAATTTGCATTTAAATGCCCTCAAGGGCATATTATACTTAGTGAGCGATGCTGGTACCCAAACTGACACACCAGGCTAATGAGCTGCAAAAAGCAACAGTAAACAGCCTCAGACTGACAGCAGCTGTAAATGAGGGCTGTAAAGGGCCTAACTCAGCAATCAATGAGTTCTCTCTCGCTCACTCCCCCCCTACCTGTCCTGGGCCAGTCTGCTGCTTATGCTAGCAGAGATAAGGTCGCAGTCCTTCTCCAGCTGGTCCAGGGTTCTCTGGACGGCCTGGTTGATGGTCTTCTCAATGGTCTGACACACCCCGTCAATCTGGTTCTCGCAGCGGCTTGGCTGGGGAGAAAACCAATGAGAGGAAAGGCACGGCTCCTTAGGCGTGGAAACACCTGCGTGGAGCCAATCCGATCACTTCACACAAACTATGTGGTTTATTTACAATACGTTAAAATGATCATGTATTTTTTGAGACTGTATTGCCCATGTTTTTAATGTAATTGGTCATTAATGTTACGCCGTCTGCATGAAAATATGTTCATTAAAAGAACCTCATCAGAAACTATTTTCTCAACATACACTATATTGCCAAAAATATTGGGACACCCCTCCAAATCATTAAATTCAGGTGTTCCAATTACTTCCATTCAAGCGTGGTACCATGATAGGAAGCCACCTGTGTAATAAGTCCATTCATGAAATTTCCTCACTACTAAATATTTCATGGTCAACTGTTAGTGGTATTAGAACTAAGTGGAAGCAATTGGGAACAGCAGCAACTCAGCCATGAACTGGTAGGACATGTAAAATCACAGAGCGGGGACAATGCATGCTGAGGCACACAGTGTGTCTGCAGTGTCAATAGTTATAGGCCTCCAAACTTCGAGTGGCCTTCAGATTAGCTCAAGAAGAGTACATAGAGAACTTCATGGAATGAGTTTCCATGGCCGAGCAGCTGCATCCAAGCCTTACATCATCAAGTGCAATGCAAAGCGTCGGATGCAGTGCTGTAAAGCAAACCACCACTGGACTCTAGAGCAGTGGAGACGTGTTCTCCGGAGTGACGGATCACGCTTTTCTGTCTGGCAATCCAGTGGCCGAATCTGTGTTTGCTGGTTGCCAGGAGGATGGTACTTGCCTGACTGCATTGTGCCGAGTGAAAAGTTTGATGGAGGAGGGATTATGCTGTGGGGTTGTTTTTCAGGGGTTGGGCTTGGCCCCTTAGTTCCAGTGAAAGGAACTCTTAATGCTGCAGCATTGGAAGCCATTTTGGACAATTCCATGCTCCCAACTTTGTGGGAACAGTTTGGAGATGGCCCCTTCCTGTTCCAACATGACTGTGCACTGGTGCACAAATCAAGGTCCATAAGGACATGGATGAGTGAGTCCGGTGTGAAGGAACTTGACTGGCCTGCACAGAGTCCTGACCTCTAGCCAATAGAACACCTTTGGGATGAATTAGAGCGGAGACTGCAAGCCAGGCCTTCTCATCCAACATCAGTGCCTGACCTCACAAATGCTCTCCTGGAAGAATGGTCAAAAATTCCCATAAACACACTCCTAAACCTTGTGGACAGCCTTCCCAGAAGAGTTGAAGCTGTTACAGCTGCAAAGGGTGGGCCAACTCCATATTAAAGCCTATGTATTAAGAATGGGATGTCATTAAAGTTCATGCATGTGTAAAGGCAGGTGTCCCAATACTTTTGGCAACATAATGTATAATAAAAACAAAAAACTCAAAACAATTTCGTCTTTTGCTTTAAGTCCAACTGGTTAATACCAGTGATATACACCAAAACAGTCTTACACACCAAAAGCCATGGATTTCACTTTTACTTGGCTTAACTAATTCAGGGTTGCACAGTTGCCAAGTGATTAGCAAAGTACTGGTTCAGAGCATCTTCTGTCTTGGGCCCTATGCCTCTCAGAATATGCAAGCTCTCTCCTTGTGACCCGTTACTGGATAAACAAGTAGTTAAAACAGATAGATGGACGGATGAACTATTTTACCACAGTATTGGTCCTGAACTGATTAGAAGCATAACATACAGGTCCCTAGCATACACATTTAAATTTCACCCTGGACTCAGGGGCATAGTACAATAGAGATTTAAGTGACAGTATACTAATTGAATCCTTATCCACTGTGCTGTGAATCAAGGAGTGCCATCTCCAAGAAGATTAGCAGCCCAGGATGGACCAGTAAATACAGTCTCTCTGACATCGCACCCCAGCAATTGATGACAAGATGAGGCAGGGCTGCCTGATTCACTACTGACTGGCCTGAAATTTATAACCAGAGCTCTTGTTGAAGGTGCAAAGCTGAACCAAAAGACTCAATTTAACTGGTGTATTTATGCCTACTGAGAATAATTAAGTGTCTTCTCAGACACCCCCCAGACACACACAAATTGAGTCTGAATTAAAAACCAAACCTTGTACAAACAATGTAGGAAATTAATTTTATTGTCATGAGCCAAGCGGCAGCTATTAAAAAAAAACACAAGAGACTGACTTACTTTCTGTGGGTTGGGGATGTAAATTGTGGGCATCTCAAAGCCACATTTGTTCAGTCCTGGTCTGCGGCACAACTCCTGAACAATCTGCATCATCACTCTCTGTTTACAACAAATAATTAAACTTTGATTAGCAGACCGAGTCTCTTTCGGCAGGAAATAAATACTTCATTGAGGACCTATTAAATACAGTGAGTGATATGTTGACTGAGAAAAGCCTTACGGTTACGAAGGTAACATCTTAAAAGTTGGGTGTGTGGCTCTGCAGGTCAAGAATCCATGCCCGGCATGTCATTGGTTTGAATCCCATGGCTGACAGAGTAATGACATTACCGTTGGACTCATGCAAGGCCCTTAACCCCGTAAACCGCTCCAAGTTTCATAAGTATCAAGTTTCATATAGCAATACCTTAAGCATTAATAATTAACTTGCATCTAATTATAAGGGGAATAATCAAAGACATTTGCTGGAAGGTTCGGTTCTCTTCACCTGCCTGTCAGTCTCCCTCCCAGCCTCGTCTGCCTTGCTGAGGTAAAACAGCAGCCGGTCTCCACACGTCTCGCTGAGCTTCTCCACAATGTCCAGCGTGCGCTTGCACAGGGCCTGTCCCATTGGGTCGAAGAACACCATGATCAAGTCCGCCTGCTGGCCTAGAGGAACAACAACAGGACCGTTCCAGTTCCTTCAAATATGACACACCCCTGCTTCACCGAGTCACTGTAAATTTGGAGTCTATCCCGGAAGACACCGTGGATGGGATGTCAGTGCACTGCAGGGCTCACACACTAAGGGTCATTTACACCTAATCCTTTGGCTGCCTGAGGAAACCTCCATGAACCCAAGGAGAACATAGAAGCCCCAACTTCTTAACTGTGTTGCATGTTACATTGATAAACCAGTCGTGTTAGTTCAATTAACCACATTAGCATAAGTTTGGCCGTGTCTAACACTCATTAACAGTCATCAGGAACATTTCAGTCAGTGGCCAGCCTTACCAAAGGATATGATGGCGTTGTTGACATCAAAGGGATAGACCATGTCACCATCCACCAGCCCCGGTGTGTCCACAAAGGTCACCAAGCTAAACTTCTTCTGCTTGGAGGTAGAGATTTCAGCAGAGAGGTAGTCCGTCAGACCTACGAAGATAAGCATACTGCAAGCATATGTAAGGGCGCTCTGCTGGAATCCACCTGTCCGTCCGAAAACGATTCACTCCAACACCCACAAGACAGATTGCTAAAAACTGGGACATACAGGGGACACGATCTCTGCAGTCTTCTGTGACCCGTGAAGGACAATGATCAACAAGCTATGCATTCTTATTCTCAAAATGCCTATGCTCACATTCCACAAACTGGGCAGACAGCTTCTGCGAATCCCAAGGGCTCTTAAGAACGATGGAACCCCGAACTCTCCAGCACGCTAGCCAGCCAACAGGGGTGGGGCTTAAGTTGTCAAGGTCACCCACAACAGCTCTTCAACTGGCAGCTTTACATTAAGGCATGGGGCCATAAAGCTAGCCAATGAAGAACGACTGTGGAGCAACTCTATGTCAGGCACTTGCATCAAGGTGCCAAGAAAGTGCTCTATCACCTCCAAATCCTGTTTAATTATTGAAGACAAAATTATATATTTTTTCTAAGGTGATAAGAGGGAACAGACAGTAGATTATTCTGCTGTTCTTCACACTGATGATTATTTAGACCAAATTAGCTGTAAAACTTAAGACGTGTCTATTGTGAGAGACCCAGTTGAAAGATTTTGTCTATTGCTAATGTCTCTGTTCATGGACAGACCCATCTGCAAACTGTGCTGGTGTGCATGAGCTCGTGAATCAGATCTCAGGGCTACAAAAAGGCTTTAATCACATAATAAATGTCTATCTTCAGCATCTGATTCTTGGACCACAAAGGAAACGCTATGACACTTCAGGATTTCACTACGGACCGACAGGTACTAAAGCTGTAGGATGCCTTAGGGATCATTAGGTTTGAAACATGAATCCCACTGGTGTCTCCCTAACGGAAGGAGCTCTCGGATCATCGGAATCTGCAGTAAGCCCCCCGAGAAGTGAAAAGGTGAGGGTCGATAATCCCTCCAGTCTGGAGCAGAGCCAGGCCATGCATCCGGTGTCCTGAGCCAAGGACACAGGCTTCATGCTCCCACATGGATCCCCGGCCTGTTGTGACACCCGGCGGGTGGGTGCTGAAGACGCTCAACCAAGGGGAAACCAAGGCAACCATTCCCACTGGAAACGACCCATCACCCATTTAAAACCAGACTGCACTGCAGTTCCTACTAATACACGCAACAATTTGCACCCCCCCGCCCCCACCAAAAATGCATCGGTCCAAATCAGAGATTTACCGTAGTACACTTTATGACATTTAAAAAAGTAAATCCCAGTTTAGCAGGTGGCGAGAGACTCATTCAAACTGATACATACAACAATAAAACACATCACTCCATGTAGAAGACACCAACACAGGGCTGAAATCTACATTTGACAAGATCATTTTAAACCTTGGAATTAAAAAAAAAATAAAAAAAATCCACTACTGCTGCGACGGTACGTGTCTAAGGCTGACTGGCAATTCCTGGAGGTGTCAGCAGACGTGGCTCTGCTACCGATGGGTGTGACTCACCCCAGACAGGCTGGACATTCTTAGGTGTCTCTGTGGGGTAACAGACGCATCAGTGCTGCAACAGGCGCCTGCGTATTCGATAACCCCGCTGACCCCAGGCTGCTCGGGCGCAGCCCAACCCGCCCCTCTGTCAATGCTGCAGCTTGCGGATCCGCAGAACACGGCACCGCCCAGAGGACGAGGCGCGCGTGTCCCTGTGACCTACGCGGCTCGCGGCGCGACCAGACACACATCTGCCGCGTATGCGGCATCCATGCTGACCATCGCAAGGCGACCCGCCAGGGCCCCGGCACGAAGCGTGGAGGACGCAAAAACAGACCCCTCACACCGATACGCAACAACCAGGCCGCAACCATTTCTGAAGCATTCCAGAGTAATTTTCATAATGAACCATCCACCAAGTGACATTCGGAGCCGTTAATTGGCGACACGGCGCTCCTGATATGTGCGTTTGCGTGAGTGATGAAGCGAAGGGAAAATGAGCCCCTACCTTTAAACTCCAGGAGGTGTCGGAAATGGGGGTACAGATGAAGCGTTGCGTTGCCCTGTGTGGGACGGGACCAGAAAAAATAAAAAAAGAAGAAGATAAGGAGAGGGGAGCAGAAATGCAGATGTTAAAGGACACAGGAGGGGAAAGGCGAGCTGGGGGGCCGGGAGGGTGTGTCCCAGGCCTGACTGGCACGGCTGACAGCCATGTTGCGCTGCTCAGTGCACAGAGCACACCCCCAACCCCCCAGTCACACTACCCAGCCCTCCATCTCTCCGGTTCGCTCCAGGAAGCAGATCTGCAGCAGACGCCGGGCAGAGCCTCACCCTGCCGCTATAAAGCCTTCCCCCGCACCCCCCCCCCCCCCCCCGAGAGTGATGCAAGCACGGCAGTAGCCAGTCACGGGCCCCTACGCTGCCATGAGTTACGGCTTATTGCTTCCGCAAGCGATAAAGCGTGAGCTGGCAGAGCCAGGAGAGCCTGAGTGACAGTGCTGCATCGCGCAAACCTCTACTGCCGCAGCGCTACCACAGCCGGGGCCTTATCAACGCAGATATAACCCGAAATACGTGTGGGCAGAGATTTCAAAAACATTTACAACCAATAATTTATCTATTTAGAGACACCAGCAAATTAGCATTAAGAAGTTGAATACTTACCGTCAGAGATTCCCTTTTCCGGCCACTCGTGACGAAGGTGAAGCCTTGGGTCTCTATGGCAACGCCTGTCCTCTGAATATGTTCCTCTACATACCTGGAGTAAAGTCGTCATGTGTTAGTTGCAGCATTTCCATGTTCCGGTGACAATTTAACGCCTTTTTCAGGTAACATTACTCTTGGATTTATAAATGTAACCACCTGAAATATGCCTTGTCCCAGAGCCAGAGATAACGCAAAACCAAGCTGTAAAAAGTCAGACTAACGTCGAACTCATATTTAGGTTACATTTTCACTTACAGGAAGATTACCTGTCACACCACCACCCACAGATGCAAAAGGAAAAAATCTCAGATATAAGGCAGAGTTTGATTCCCTGCTCTGGATCTTGTATGGCAGGTTTGCATGTTCTTCCTGTGTTTCTGTGAATGCTCTTACCCATAAATTGTGATCATGTGTTAGTGTAAGTGTCTTGCGAAGGGCTGACCTCCCACAAATGGGGGGAATGATCGCCATGAACTTCCTGGATCAGGCTCACGGCTCACTGTTTATGAAAGACGGCTTGTGACACCATGTTTGCAGACAGCAACCGTTAACCGAAGTAAACAGAAAAGGGGACAGACGCTGGCTTAAATATTGCATATGCAATATTTATATAATTATATGCAATAAATGCAGACATGGACCAAGGCAGGGCTTTTTAAATCACTTCATTCAGGTTTCATGAGCAGTGATGCCATGCTGATATTATCACCCAGAGTCAGTTTGTGATTCATTTAGGCAGCTGCATATTTCAAAGTGATTCTAGTTTAGTATCTCACTAAAGAATATCACAGCAGGGCCCATGGCATAAAATACAGTGAAAGGGGAACTAAAGCAGTATCCCTCTCCATACATACTCTCAAATAAATGAAAGCATGGATAACATCAATGATAATCTGATGCACAGATCTGAACACAAAACAGTGCTCAGAAAGATTTTAAATCTCCTCCCTCCGAATCTAATTGAATCAACTAACGGGAGGCTTTAGCCAAGCCTTCACTGAAGACTTGGTAGAGGTTAACAGCCTTGCAGAGGGCCATACCAGTTAATGAAGGAGCTCTTTCCTGCGGAGTGGTTCCCCATAATCATCACAAAAATCTTCTTCCGGGGGGGTAGTAAGCGAAGGCCAAGGCTGTCTGCGATCTTCACCAGCCCTAGAAAAACAACGGCATCAAAAACAATATCTGAAAACAATCACTGAGGCACAGGGATTTGACAAAGGGGGAAGAACTCAGAACGAATGACATCTCTGTCAGTCAGTGTATGAGAGGGAAACTGCTACTATACATATTAGGGCTGCAACAGTGCACACACTCATTTTTGGTTCAGTACAATGAAACAAATTAATACATATATTGAAACAAATTAAACAAATTCACAAGTAGGTGTTCAATATGGAAAACATCATACTAATTTGGGCTGTGAGTTGGTTACGGCTAATGCTGGATACAGTTAGTCATAGTCAGTGGTTTGTGAACATTCCGACTTCGACTTCCCAATAAATTACACAAACACTGAAGAGAGAGTAGTTGTAAAAACCAAGACTGTCTGTTGGCTCTGTTATTCCGAACTCAGGTATGTTGCTGAAAACACATACAGCATGCTAACTCATTTGAGATGACATCATCTGAGCGTGTGTATGACTAAAGCAAGGCATAAACATCTTCTGCAAGTTAGTCTCCCTGTGGAATTTATTTAAGGTGCTATTTATGGCCATTTATTGAATGTTTCAAACAATTGAAATCAAAGCACACATCACTTGAAAAGAAAATGTCTTGTGAAATATGCTACATTTTAGTTTAAGTAAAAAGCAAGTTCCCTACTGATTAAACAAATTGGTGGTGATACTGTTACAGTTTTTCTGCAGTGTTTACATTTGACCTATTGGTCGGCATTGTCTTCACTGAAGCAAAAATGTGTCCAAATGACAGGCAGGCATTACATTCTTTTTAGGTATAAACTGCTCAAGTCGAAGTGCCTGCACTCACGTCATCCATGCCACCAGCTTTCCTTTGAGTGAATGCGGACTAACGTTAGTTGGACAAGAGCGGAGGCATGCGAATGAATTTTAAGGGGGACAGTTCATGAACGCACACATTTGGGAATGTATTAACCTAATTAACCAACAGTTATATTTCATATTTACTAATTTAGTAGAAACTTTTGTCCCAAGTGACATACAGTTCAGTTCAGATCAGTTCAGTCCAGTCTGTTCTTGCATGAACTGGGGTTAGGGTCCAATGGTAAAATGGCTCAAGGGCCTAATGGTGACATCACTCTGCCAGCCATGGAATTTGAACGGCCAATCATGGGCATAGCGTCCCACCCTGTGGAGCCACACACCACCGACCATCTCAGTCTTATACTTTTAAATTTGTTCTACTGTCTGCCACCATATTACACCCTCTCATTTTTAAGGGTAATCATTCAAATGATTAACAACAAAATCCATATTAAATTTTTAAATGTAATTAGTGAACACATGCTCTGTTACAATAGGGGCGTACCTTGGACCAGGGTATTGAACCTGTCCTGTTGGATGTAGGTTACATTCCCTTTTGAACGATAGGGCCATGGCATAGGTTTACATTACTAGACCATTTGGATGCTTGAATGGGAGCCTCAACAATTTCCTGGCCCTTCCCCTCACCTATCTCCTTACCGCTGCAGGGCTGCTGTTCTGCAGTCTCATTTTGATTCTCACCAAATGCACATACACACTGAACTTCACTACATTCCCTGATATCTCCAAGTTTTTCAAATACTTAGGACATGAGAGGTAACACTTTTGTTGACATTATAGTTAATGTGGTTAACCCAAGTACAGTTATTTTACTGCATTGTAGTTAATCTGAGAAAAGTTTAAGATAACCATCATTTGCTATCCGGTGGATTAGCTGTCTCTCAATGATAACTGAGAGGCTCAGTAGAAGCTTCTACCTTCAAGCCATTTGGCTACTTAATACTTGATTACACTTATAACTGACATTCCCCTCTTATCTATGCACATCACAGTTTATTTTATCTGCGTTGCACACCTTTGGTCTATTTTTTTATTATTTATGACTTATTTTATTAGTTGTAATATCTTTTTAAATATCTTGTTTGCTGTCTTTTTTTATAGCAGAGCTGACCACCTTGCACTTCACTGCAGGTCATGGTCTGACTGTATACCTTGCATGTGACAAATAAAACCCCTGAATCCTTATTTAGGCTAGCTAGATGACCATGGTATCATGATTCTTACTGCTAGAAATAAATCAAGAAGACTATATAACTAGTGGAGCAGTTGTCATTATCTTTATAACTTTGCAGATTAACTCCTATACCAATGTTGAATATTTTGGAACTACATCACTGCCTTTCCCTTCTCAGTGAGATCGCAAAGGATAGGGGACGCTTAGACAGAACAGAGTATGGGGGGTGAGCGTGTAGACAAGTGGGCTAAGCCCCTAACCTCATACACTCTAGACACGCCCCGGTCTTACAATACCAAATATGTCAGTAGAAGACAAAAATTAAACAAAAAATTGGTTCAATCTACTGCCCAAGTATAAAGGTAAACCCTTAAATACACCTTGCAAGGACAAAGAGTTGGGAACGCCTCGTCTGCTGAAATTTAAGAGCGTGTGTGCAAGTTGAATCTAGATAAGAGCTTCCACCTACAATTTAAACATCTGACAGAAAACTACCAAAGGGGGTTATAATAAAGCAATTCACCGTCAAAGTGTGTCCCTTAACGCAGCACTAGCTGCACACCAGATTTTTAACAAAGCTCATTAGACCGTAACTGTCGACCAAATTAGAAACTGCAATTTGACCAACTTTAACAGAATATAGATTTTTAGGTAAACGCCATGCAGAAACAAATCTTCATATACTGCCATGCATTTTTGTTTGTGTGACAGATATTAATCCAACCACGATAGTTTCTTCAATATGGCAAAATGATTAACGTGTCAAGAAAAGCCACCCTGTTTTGTAAATGTTAGTAAAAATGTTTGACGAGCAGGCATATCGGCGGACAGCCCATTGGTATAGTGGGCCAGCCTCCGCCTGCCAAAGAAATTTGTAACATCTTGTCATTATCTTAAACCAAACACTACAACATTAACGCCTCATAAATAATGAAATATATGCAGCTTTATAAAAAAAAGCGCCTGCGAAGATTTCGTCCCGACATAACAGCTGAAGCATGCGGTCCATTGCCGACACCCTCCCTCTGATAATCCCAGGCACCGACATGACAGTAAATATATGTATATATATATATATATATATTTTTTTTTTCATATTTTACCGTTCTCGTCGTCGATATACAGGTCGTGGCATTCCCTCAAAATCAACTCGCTGGGATTAGAGATAGCCGAATCCAGAGGGTTTGCCACCAACCTGGCCTTTCTAACGCCAGACATGACGGCCGGATTACATGCACCACAGCTTGTTCTGTACGGAATGAAGAATTTGAGAGCTGCGATACTTTGATGAACCACAGCGCCGCCAAGCGGCCCTTGAAGAAAGGTGCTATGCTGATCGCTAATATTTAACTTCGTAATACACGCACTAGTGATGGGAACTCCGGCTCTTTTCAAAGCTTTGGCTCTTTTGGATCGGCTCCCTTTAAAGAGCCGGCTCTTACGGCTCCCGAATGGCTCTTCGTTTAGTATCACTTGGATGCTTATATTTTAGCCCAATTAAGCAATTATGAATGGTT